CTCTTTTGAACCATAATGTAGTGATTTCGGCATTGGCTGCCTGGGCTAGTCCATGTCCATTTCCTTGAAGGTTGTGAAATCCCAGTGTGTTTGCTTGCACTAGGCTGTTGGTGGCGGCAAACTCAAGCAGTCGATTACCTCTTTCATTTGTTGTAGGGTTGCATGATGGTCCGCAAATCTTGAGCATCTATTTCAACCTTAACTTTCCAGTCAACTTGTACCACTAAAATGTCTTTCTTAGGTGTTTCAACAGTGATTTCTTGTAGCTGGTTGTAGAAATCATCCATGTCTTCGTCACTGTATTCATTTGTAGGGGCATATGATTGCACCACCGTGATGTTAAATGGCACTGCCTTCAGGGTATTCAGGGTCTACTGGAGACCGGGCGTTATCCCATGACTGTAATGATGGTGTCTTTATGTACCAGGAAACCCACACCTTCTCTGTGTTTGCCATCCCTTCCAATGTAATACACCTTGTGTCCATTCATTGTTGTTGTTTCACCTCTGTGTTTCCATCGCGTCTCACATCGGCCCATAAGGTTCGAGTTATAGCTATTCATCTCATAAACCAGATCTTCTATTCTTCCCTCTTGTCTTAAGGTTCTTGTATTCCAACTGCCGAGGACGATGTTTTCCCTGGCACGTGGCTTTGTTCTTTGAGCACCATTTGTATACCTATAACCTCCGCTCCGGTGTGAAGCTGAAGGCGCGGTCCTTGTTCCGGGCGACGACCTAGTCGGTATAGATTCGGTTATGGTTGTCTTCATCATGGTGTGTCTTGAGCGACATGACCTGGCGGCGCCTATCCCTCTCCAGATTAAGGGATTTGAAGGAAGGATTAAATGATGAGAAAAGAGTAACGTAGTCAAATACTTTGCACTAAATGTATTAAAATCTCGAAGGCTCATGAAAGGCAAGAGCTGTTAAATGTTCTATATGATTGTTCTTCAGATCACCTTGAAAGAAAAAAAAATGTTTGTTGCTACTGAACGTCTGTTGACAAACATCTTAAGATAAGGTCAATTGAACTACATTCATTTATGATTTTCGGGGAAATATGCTACTGATGCATGAAATGAAAAAAAGATCTAAGAGATTTGCTAAAAGTAGAAGGGAATATATGTCTGTATAAAAAGATAATCCATGCCAACAGTAGAAGAGAATCAACGAAAACAGTAGAAGAGAATCTATGCCAGAAGTAGATGTGAATCTATGCCAAAAGTAGAGGGGAATCTATACCAACAGCAGAGTAGAATCTATCAAAGACTTGCAAGTTGCAGATGTTGCATGCAAACCATCTGAGATTATGTGAATTGTTAGTTTTCAAACCAAGAAAGCCAAGCTTTTCATTGATGTCCGTTAGTCGAATTATCGCACATTTCCAACTATCGTTGATGCCCTGACATAGCCCACAGACTAGAAATATGATTCATTTTATATCCAAATTAGCCAATCTTAACAAGAAATGTCTACTATCCTTCTCTCGACTCAGGATAATGCAATTAGTAAGGTAAGTGTTTTTTTTTCAATTACCTTTTCAAAACAACACTTGAGAAGTCAATATAGTTATTATTGAAAATCTGAACGATGGAAAATTATTTCCTGGAGCTTAAAACAGTTTTTAAATTCAGTCGTTTGTTTTTGTTGGTCGCGAGAGACCCCCCTTTTTTTGTTGATAAAAGGCCTTAGCAATTCTTCTGGAATTGTAAGCATGGCGGACAATTTTCGTTGTTTATACATGTGTCTCTGGAACAGGGTCTTCGACTTTGGGAATGTGACCAATATGAAAAATAATGGACAGTATTTAATAACTTATTGGAGGGCTACGGGTAAGTCATAAGATTTAAAAGAAAACACACCAAAGACAAAAACAAATATTTTAAGCACTGAATCGAACACAATTTACAATATTATGAAATACTAGTATGTATTCCTTTTCACAGGCTTTACACTCTTTCCAGTACATTATGAAATTCAAACTCGCAATGAGTGTTAAAACTTACTGTAGTATATTGTAAGGAAAATCTCTGTTTTTGGCTACACCAATTAACGTACATGAGGATATCACATCTGTTTTAATGCCTTCCTGTTTAGATAATCGCTCATTCTCCTTTCTCACTAGCAATTTGAAAAAATGTACCCATTTCTGCAGGAGCACAACCATTGTTTCTTCTATTAAATGATTGCAAGGCTGTTTGACTCCTTTGACTTCATCGGCAAACTATACTATTGAATTTTAAATGTCGCAACACCTAGACTTTAAGGATGCAAACGTCAACATTTGGCACTGTGTAACATTTAATTTAGATATCTGTATGTAAAATGAGTCACTGCTCATATACATTTCTGCTCTGGTTTTTTTCGCAATAAGCCTCTTCCAACTTTTCTGAATCATCTTAATGTTGATGATTTAAATTACCAAAATCCTTCTGTGATCCCCATTTTCTACGCATTCTTGAATAGAGTAGCCTTTAACAAAAATTAAAACAAAATATTTTGGAAAAATCCACTTTGAGTTTATTATCTTGACAATTCTAAGAGCAAAATTCAACTGTCACAAGAGATTGACGTCTGTAAGATTACTATAATTCTGTAGCTTTCTGATCTCATGAATCTATTTTGCATCAGAAAAATGGTTTCTCTTTCTGAAGCTTAATTTCAAAACTAAATAATGTTCCACATCATGTTCATTATTCAGTTATTTAATAAAGTACTACTTACCTATAACTGTCCACTAAATGAACAATCCAAATGTAACTTTGATTTGTTTGTAAACAACCTATACAGGAGCCAGTCCAATAGAAAATGCTTACTAGATGCAATGGATGTGAAGCAATGGAAGACACTATTGTGAACACAAAAGAGTAAATGAATGTTTTGAGAAAGTTAAAGCCTTAAACTTTTCATTCTGTGAAAAGAAAGAACTTTTGTCGAGCTCAGTATGTATCAGCCGATAGTAGAGAGTGAGTTCGACTACCTTCTGTTTCCTCGCAGCATGAACTGTCGTCCTTTCGACTGAATCTGGTTTAACTTCAGACAATCCTCGACTGACTCTGCAACGCTTCATACAAACCCCGGATTCGATTGATTGGGGAATACGCATTAGGTCGATACATTTCTCTGCCGGTGCCTTATAACTCATTTCAATTTTTTTCTCTGTAAAAACAGGTAAAGGTCTTTAAAATTATATTTTAACTTGGTATATCCTTCTTTTTATATTGCTTTTAATAATAGTCTTGTCCCATGACCCATAACGAAGTGCAAGGGATCATTGGACAAGACAATTTTAAATACATACGTAAGTTTAAAATCTTTGATAGCAAAAACATGTTGGACGTGCAACAAGTAACTCGGATTTCAGTATAACGAAATTCAAATATGTTCACATGACGGAATAAGCTAGATGGTAGAACACCATTGACTTTCGAGGGAAGTTTCAATTGGTTCAATTTCATGAATCACTAGTCTCGTTCAATCAGACGCTTGGCTGTCTCCGTAAATCTTCGACCAGCAGGTCGGGGATTTACGGAGACAGCCGAGTGTCAGGTTGAACAAGACTACTGAATCACACGGTATTCTAATCTGCATAGTGTTATGATATTGCCAGCACTATCAGTTAATCGTTTTTATTTATTTAGATAACTTAAACGGACAGGTTTAAGCCGATGAATTGGAATTGAGCAGTCGAGGGGACGTTCAGGAGGGGCATAATAAACCGGTCAGAGGCAAGATATATACCTGTGATTTATTTATATCATTCGTTTAAATCTTGTTGTCTAATTGAACTGATTTGTTGATGTATTATCTGGGTCACAACCACAGGTACTTGACGTTTTAAACCTTACTACTGATTGACAAACACATTCCCTTACTATATAATTATTATTATTATTATGGGAACGTTTTTAAGAGGAAATATTTTTATCAATAAAGAGTAAAATTTAAAACACTTGTGATCTGGATTATTTTATTTGAAATTCTAAAAAGAAATTCTCTGAAATTTTGATTTTTTGAAATTCAGATGCTTGTTTAAAACAAGCATTGATTTTGATTCATAGCATACGTGGAAGCGACACAGTGATGGTTACAAAACAGGACATTTTTATGGAAGGCCAAGTAAATAAATATTCAAAAATTTGAAACTGTTTTCAGTTCATTGTACCTATCTTTAAATCGATATACTTTAAATGAGTTAAAGGTAGGCTTAATTCAATTATACCTTAAAATTCATTTGAATATACATGTAGGTACAAATTGATTTGAAGATAGATACAAATGCCATGCATTAAATATAGGTATAATTAATTTAAAGATTGGATTCAATTGTCAATGAATTGAATCTATCTTTAATTATAACGAGCAAAAACAAAACTGCGCGTGTGATACTAGACTTAAGTAAATTTTTTTCTTTCTTATTGAAAATCCAATCAAAAAAGCAAATAATTTTCTAATAATTTAACATTTAACATACATATTTTTGATGAAATAACACCCCCCCCCAAAAAAAAACAATTGAAATTTTTATTATTTTCAGGTACAAGTGAAATATGGCCGAAGGTGGTATTAGTTTATCTGCGTTTTTGTGTGATCTCTGTGAAAACGACCCGGCGCAGTCCTTCTGTCGTACTTGCAGTGGAAATCTGTGTGATAAGTGCACTACAGAACATAAAAGCAGGAAGATTTTCTACCATCATGATGTTGTCAAAATGACGTTGACAAGACAACTGGAAAAAGATGGATATGAGTATTGCAGGGAGCATCCAGAGAGCAAAAATGAATTGTGTTGTCAAGACTGTACCATGCCGGTGTGTACAAAATGCATAGCTGGACTTCACAATGGCCACAAAATGACCGATATTTCCAGTGCTTACATTGAGGCTAAAGGCAAAATAACATCAAGAGTAGAAAGAATGGAGACATCTCACTATGCAAAGCACAGGGAACAGCTAGATGATCTGGACAATATTTTAAGTGACATTAACAAACAGACAAACGACGTTGAACAAGCTGTTTTAAGCCGATCAAAAGAACTTGCAGACCTTGTTCATGAAATTGAGAAAGATGTCTTACAGAAAATATCTAAGGAAAAAGAAGATGCTATCAAACTCATCCTATCTTATAAAGAAGAAATAACAGGACACCTCTCTTCCTTACGAAAACTTCAGAATATGATGTTACAAGATAGAGACTCAAAATGTATGACAGACCTGATTTTGTACACGAGGAACAATCTCGAAATTTCCAGTGATGATAAAAAGGTTCTGAAATTTGATTTCACACCTTCTGTGCTCGATGAAACAAAGCAATTTCCGGATGAATTAAGACATTTGTTTGGCTTGTACCTTCCTTCTACTATGGTAGTTCAGGGTAGAAAACAAATCAAGAAGTCAGCAAAAGAAGTAGCAAGATTTAAATCTGCGATTAAGCAGCCAATTGGTTTAGCTTTTTCTCGATTAAATGCTGACCTGACTTGGATTCGTGGAGGAGAAGCAGAAATTAAGAAAATAGACATACAAGGTAATGAAAAGGCTACTGTCAAGACTCTCACCAAACTAGGGCGGCCCTCAGGTCTTATCGAGTTAGACGATGGAAGCATCTTTTTCAGTGATATTGAAAATAAAATGGTAAAAAGGTTATCCAACGATTTGCATGAAGAAGCAACCATGAGATTTGATTGGTATCCAATGGGACTGTGCATCAGTCAAAGCGGTCACATTCTCGTGTGCGCTGCTTTTCTACCATGGCAAGCCACAGACGCTAGTGACCGTGGAAAGGTTTTGCGAATGAGCTACAAGGGAGTAACACTGCAGGAAATAATGAAAGACGGTGAAGAAAAACACTTGTATTGCAGACCTATTTGTATTTCTGAAAATATCAACCAAGATATTTGCGTATCAGATTCAAGAAGGCATTCTGTAGCCGTTGTTGATAGAACAGGTCTCCTCCGATTTGTCTATGAGGGTGGGGGATTTCATAAAGACCAAGAAGAATTTGGACCTGCTGAGCTAGATACCGACAGTATCGGAAATATTGCAGTGTCTGACCATACCAATAATTTGGTTCATTTATTAGACGTCGATGGAAATCTTATAAAATACTTGCTTACAGCAAAGGAGGATATTTTTGGCCCAAGGGGTTTAAAAGTTGACAAAGAAGACAGATTATGGATAACAGAGGGAAAGACTGGTTATGTAAAAATATTCAAATATTTGGAGTAGAATGAATGCTTTTATTAGAGGAATTTCGATATCGACTTGTTTCGTTTGTCCACATCTAATGAGCTAGAAACAAATTAACTGGTGCATTAAGACAAAGTGGTTGATTGGTTTGATTTGTAATTTTTTTAAATGAAAAGAAAGTGAATATCGAGTTTATAAACAATGTTTATATGAATGACAAATTCTCGAGAGGGAAATTAAACAAGCGAACAAACGAAAACAATAGATAAAAAATTACTGTTAAAAAAACTTATTACTATAAGAAATTTAATTCTGCAGAGTTTTTGATCCAACAAAGGGTCTTCCCTTTTCACGCATGGCAACTTGTAGATTAAAAGTTCCTGTATTTAATTCAATGAGTTTTTAAAAAATGTGTTTTAATATTCTCACAAATGGCTTATTGCATCCCGGAGGACCGGGCTGCTCTATACATATAAGTTTAATTGTTGGTATATGGGGATTGAGGTGGGAGAAGTTATTCAGAATTAAAGGTTTTCTTAACATTAAAAAGATTGTTAATCAGAATGTTCTTTCCCTTTATAAATTACGAGATACATAATATATTTACCTCCGTAAATTGAATCTCTAAAAATTTATTTGTTTTTCATTTTTCATTTATAAAATTGTAATCAACCGACAGATCCCCTTTTTTAGAACATCGAATTTTACTTACCGCATAAAAACGTACTATACACAGTTCGTGTTTTATATTCTTAAAGTGAAATACATTTTTGAATATACACGTAGGTGATGCATGCCTGGTTCCAGTTTATATTTTATGTAGCCAACATTAATAAAGTTTAAAAGGGCATTGTTTTTGTTCGATTTTCATCCGACTATAAGTTTTCAAAATATTCTCGACTATCGTCTCCATCATATAGACGCATGCCTTTTTTACACATATCGAAGAGGACTCATTTCCATTATTTACTATATTTGTTTACTTATTTATTTCCCGGGCGACAATTGATGGTTACATCAATGTTTTCTTGTTCTTGAGTTACTTGGCTTTGGTTACACAAACGTGCTGGCAACAACTTTGTTCAAAAGGACAGTTTCTGATATTGCATAGCTTTAATTGTACGATACTAAAACGTATCTGAAGAAATTCACCTTTTGAGATATGGAACATGTCAGAGAGTTTCCCAGCAAGCACACAACGTTGTTTAAAATTTGATAAATCTAGATACAATACTGATTCAACGTTGACTGTTCAACGTTGAAAATGTTACGTTGATTCAACATTGAATTCAAATTGAGTTGAATTGCCGACATTGATTCAACGTCAGATCTTCGCTGAGCGGTCCAATCCTTTTTTTGTTGTTGATTGATAATTTGGACTCTGATAGTGTCGGACTATGACACTGTCGGACCATAACGAGGTCGGACTTGACAAAGTCGCACTACCATATATGATTACTTAAAGAATAACTGTCTTATTTTTCGATTTTCAGAGGTTATCAATCGATTGGCTTGCGTGATAATTTGCATTGCCGAAGGCGTTTATGCATAAAATTATCAAGCAAGCCAATCGATTGATCATCGTCATGAAATTAAAAAAATCTGACAGTTATTCCTTATATTTACATGCTTTGATTCCGCCAATCCACGTGCTCCAAACCCTGCTTCTGACTAGCTGTTTGTCCCGCCCTGCACGTGTTTTTTTGGAACCGCGCCAATACATTGATAGGGGAATAAAGTACATTTACAATTTGTAATTTTATCTCGGACAAAGACATTGGAAATGTAAATATTAACTATTATAACTAACAAGAATGTAATTATAGGAATTTTACACATTCATAAACAACATTAGAGCCACATGGAAAATAGTTTGAAGTATGAAGTGCTGCTTATTTTTTCAGAAAGGATTTTTATGTCAGATCATGATATGACGAAATTGAACACAGAGAACAGAAAGAGTAACGATTTTTTATCACAACATTTAATTTAATATATGAGGTGCATATGAAAATAACACTTACTACAATACATATTTAAATCATGGAAGAAAACATCATGGAGCGATGATTCCTAAGTCAGAAAACCACAATGTTGTATATGGTTGTAAGTAAAAAAAATCAAAGTACTGAAAGCACTCATGGGAGTTGAACATGGTGTAAAATAAAATATTTGAGCGAGAAGTTAAGTGAGTGAACAATATTATTATGAAGACGATTGTTTCAGAATTTTTGAGTTGCAACAATCTTGAAAAAGACATTCAGAGACATTAAAAAGCCAAAGAAATGCATGGACCGTAATGCTTGCCTGCCTACATTAGTCCTTTTTTATACCCCCTGATTGAAAAGCGGGAGGGTATTTATTAATTGGGATTTCCGTCCATCTGTTTGTTACGCTTTAGTAACAAGAGTGTAACGTTGTGGTGTAAGTGGTGAGAGTGGTGTAAGAGGAGTTGTGGATAAGAGATGGGTATACACCATCTCTTATCCACAACTCCTCTTACACCACTGAACGAAATTTTCATATAATCTTTATTACATATTGCCGCTGCACACCTTCGAATACTTTAATTTTCATACTTCACATATTTTGGGTTTCCCATTACAAAACATGGACGCTGCCATTATATTCATATTAGAGGCGGTTGATCATCTATATAATTCACTGCTCACAGACTTCAATTTTGTAATATATTTTTCCTTAGCACCTTTACCCATGTGTTATGACAATTTCAGTTTCGCAGGAATAATATCAATGTTGATAAAATGTGGATTTTAACACAGCATCCTTTTAAGAGCTAACGAGTTTGTTATATAAAACTTCTCTGTGAATAAAAATGTATTTTAATTACACGAACATTATACATGGAGTACACCAGATTTTAATCTTTTTAAATATTGTGAAGAAAAGAGCAATACCAAGTTAAAAACAAATATTTATTGACAAAACATAAAAAAGTGGTATATGTGAGAGTTTGTGTGCGTACAAATTATCTCGTTTGTAAATGAGGTTTTCCTTTTATTAAAAAAATATATTTCATTTTGTTGTTTTAATCGCGATTTTACGAAAACATCGGTGTCCGTTTTTGGTTTTAATATTTATAAAAGAGTACTAGATTTACCGCTTTTGGCAGGTGATACTACTGATTTAGTAATAAGTACGCATGTTTCCTAAAGTTTTTATGTATTAATGAATTCATTTAAACCAAGAAAATGTTCATGAAAAGTTTGAATAAGACTAAATTTACTGTTTGCCGTTAGTATGTAGAGTTGTCGTTCGTATCTCTTTTAGTGTATGACGCTACACTAAAATGAGTTCCATTACGAAAAACTTTCAAGGTTCTTCATAATTTAGTTTTACATATGTACTGTGAACGAAATCTAATATTCAAAATAAGATTACTTTATCATTACATTTACTTACATTATGAAAATTAGATTAATTCAGGAGAAAATGACATGAACTATTTGTGGCGGATGTTTATGCATGTTTTCTGTTGAATATCATCGGAGTAAATCGGCCGATACAGTAGCCTCGCTTTCGGCTCTATATAATCAACACAAATTACTGCGCATGTTAAAAACGTGATGACCATGGGAGATTGAACATAGTTCAACTCCCCAAAAAGTATAAAACACTCTTTGGTGCTGTGATCCCTTAAGTTCAAAGTTAAAATGTTGAAAATATCATATCTAAACAAAAGCAGTCATCCAATGAAAAGCATGGACATAGAATGTCCTCTCAATTATTCCAGAATGCGCACCTAAATTAATATTTGGAACCAACTCTGTCCCAACGTAAAGCCCAGCAGCTAATTATAAAATTGACACCATCATTTAGTTGGCAGTATAATAATTGGACCAACGTTGGCCCAATATAAATATGCCATCTTTGAAACACCTAAACAAAATAACACTCTTGATAACATCGGGCCAACGTTGGGCCAACATTCTATTACCAACTTGATAAGATATTTTCTTTAAGGGTGTATTACAAACATTGGGCCAACGTTGGGCCAACATATTACTACCAGCTTGATAAGACAATTTCTTTAAAGTGTATAACAATCATCGGGCCAACGTTGGGCCAACATACTACGACCAGCTTGATAAGATATTTTCTTTAAGGGTGTATTACAAACATTGGGCCAACGCTGGGCCAACATACTACTACCAATTTGAAAAGACACTTTCTTTGAGGGTGTATTATAAACACTGGGCCAACGTTGGGCCAACATTAGCATCCTTCCTTCCTTGGAAAGTAAAGTGAATGGAAGTTGCTTACGTTGGACCAACGTTGGGCCAACATAGTAATTCTGTCATGGTTCAAAAGGTTGACTTGGTATCATTGGTCCAACGTTGGCCCTACGTTATTCCCCCAACGCCAACCATACAACCTTTTACCAGCGTTGGCCCAACATAGTCATGCTATCTGGGATATATATAGGGTAGTTCAAATTCATTTTGGCTCTGTAAAGTATTAGAAATATTCAAAACTGACATATGATTTTGAAGAATTTCTAACTATGAGTATGAGAATTACCACTTTTAGAATTAAATCCAAGTTCTTCTAAAATACAATTTATATAATGAGGCTTATAAACGAAAACAATGTCACCTGCTCTGTGGGCAGGTACCAGTACTTACGATCATGTAATATAATTCTTTTTTCTTTCATACATACCATCTGAGATGTGAATATTAGTTTTCAAACCAAGAAAGCTAAGCTTTACATTCATGCCCGTCATTCAAATTTTTCCACATTTCCAATTATCGTTGATGCCCTGACATACCCAACAAACTAGACATGAAATTCATAAAATATCCAAATTAGCAATCTTATAAAGAAATGTTTGTTTCCCTTCTCCCGACTCAAATAATGAAATTAAGGTGATTCAATCCTCACAATTTTATAGGTTCAAAGTACAAAAACTGCATTTATTTTCATTTAATATACTTTAAACTTTTCAATTATTGCAAAAAATGTATAGGTAACCATATTATTTAAGATGCAAAACATAAATAAACAGAAATGTATGTCAACATAAAAAAATCGCACATTTTTTGTAAACAGTATTATGAAAATATGTAAAAACTGGTTAAAATGCATAATTCTGATGCTGAGTGTTCCTAAATACTTAATACTTGAAAGATACTTTGAATTGTGAATATCAGGGAAACTGTTTTACAATAAAGCAAATGCCTGAATGAAGAGACCTTAGAAGGAGTTATTGCCCTTGTCAACATTTTTTAAAAGATTGAATAATTGATTAAATATAGAAAATATGCATTTTTTAAATTCTTTAACTTCACAATATTTAACATTACACCTATTGCAAAGCATTCTTCCAAGAAATATTGTTCTATTAGGTATGAATTTAAACTAATTACAGTTTTTGCAAAAATCTATGACATCATAGGAGGGTGGAATTACCTTAAGAAGTTAAGTATTGTAATTTTGATCTTATCAGAACACTTAAAAATATATAGTTGATACAGTTATTATTGGATGAGAAAATCGGAACGATGGAAAATAATCTCCTGGAGTTTGAAAAAAAAGTTTTGAATTGAGCCGTTTTTTCGTGGGTCGCGAGAGAGAAACAAACTTAAAAAAAATAATCGAAACAAATTCTCTGGAGTTGTAAACTTGGCGGACAATCTTATGGAATTCTCTGGAAGAGTTGCGAACTAGGGTGTTCGATTTTCAGAATGTGTCCAGTATAAAAAAAGACATAATTAAGGTCTTCCGCTCAGGCGGAAGACCTTCTACTGATTCTGATGG